TGATCGTGTTGGGATTGCTGGTCCTGCTCCGGAGCACCCATGTCCGCTGGGAATGAGTGCAGTTCCTGCCATCAACTTTGCTATTTAGTTGTATTTAAGTCACCTGAATTGTTATAGTTTTAGTCTAGTTTTGAGTTGAGTAAATCTACAGTCGATTTTAGTCAACTAAATTTCCAGTAGATTTTCGTTGAGACGACTAAAATCTAATGGGTTTAGTTAAAGTCTCTATCTGCGTCTTTTGCCCCTTCTCTAGCGCCTCTCTGTCTCTTTGTGTCCTCAAAGCCTCTCTAGGTGTCTCTCTCCCAAGCCCTGATCTGTCTCTTTTGCCACTGCATAGTGTAAATATTTTTGGCAAATTTCTATTTAGTTTTAGTCATAGTCTTTTGTCTAAAATGCCATTTTAGTTTTAGGCATATTTTATTAATCTGAATAGTTTTGTTTTAATCTAGTTTTAGTCAACTAAATCTCAAAAATTTTAGTCTACTAAAATTTGACAAAATTAACACTGCTTGTGTTCTTTCAAAAGGGTTTTGGCCTTGAGCGTGCAACCCTGATCAGTTAAGTTCTTCTGACATCCATCTGTCTCTGTTTGCTGCACAACCCACATAATGTTACAACCTGCACTGTTCAATCTCTCCAGATGCTAAAGATCCTTGCATTATATGTTGATTGGTGCAACCAGCATATATCATCTCTATGAGCCTATTTGTGTTTGCAGAATATGAGTATCATATTTTAAGTGCAAGTATTTATCACACCATTCATATTCATCGTTGTTGTTGTTTTGTTTTGTTTTTTGCACTATGCTGATAATATACATTAGCGTACTATGTATTTTTTTTATTTGGTGTGATTAAATAGATTTCTGTAATTGATACTTCCTTGGCATTGTCCTATTCCATCCCCTTCGTTTCAACTTATTTTTTTAAATTTTATAATTTTTTCCCTTTTTGTTCTTATTTTTTTCACTCTTTTCCTTTTTGGATTCTTTATTTGTATATTTTTTCTTTTACTCCTTTTTTGCTTTTTACACCCGTTTTCCTTTTGGAATTGCATTGCTAGAGTGCATATTCAGAATCACCCCAAATGATCAAATCTTTACAAATTTTTCAACATTGTTTTGTTAATTTGTTGCCCCTTTCTTGTTACACTATTGAGTGGTTATACCCTCTACATATTGGAGCACCAGGAAATATATACACTGCTGCTCACACACGTTTTTTCTCTGTGTTTTTCTTTTCTCTTTTTTTTTTTCTCTTTTGTTTTCTTTTTTCCTTTCTTTCTTTATTTGGAGATTGGAATTAACCACTGTTTGTTACCTAATTGATTAGGCAACATGTTTTTTTACATATTTATAATCTTTTTAGCACTGATTTTAACTCGGGCTGACTGAATGTTGACAGTATTTGGCTTCAGTAAATATGAGAATTAGGGTTATATATTAGAGAAAAACTTCAAAGTGGAAACAAAATGACTTTAAAATTTAAGGTCAAAATAGCTGTGATAGAAAAAAATCTTAGTCAGCTGTGCTTTAAGTATGGCTACTCGGGCCTTAAATTTGAAATTTACTTTGAATGCTCACTTTGGTAAAAAAGAAAACAAAAAAAAAAGACAACATGTCAGTCCATTTTGAACTAGTGTCCCTTTTAAAGTTAACTTTTGCATATTTTTACATACCAAAATAGATAGTGTGTGTGTAATTCTGCATCTCTAACTTGCAAGATTTCAAATTAGACATTTGAGAATATTACTGTGAAAAATGTACAGGAAATAAAGTAAATTATCAGTACAAACTAAATACCAAAATAATACCAACCTTATACACATCAAATATTGCATATACCACAAATGTTTAAATAGGTTAGTTTAACATATATATATATATATATACACTATATATATATATATATATATACATATATATATATATATATATATATATAAATGTAAAAATAGAAAAATGATAGCACTCAAAGGACTGTATATATATACATACCATTAATTAACAAGTATTGGGAATATCACTATTGTTTAAAAAAAAAAAATGGAAGGAGTAGAGTCCTGCAGAGAAATATATAATACAATTATTTTTCTCTGATAATGTAAAAATACATGCCAATTCCTACAATATTAATATTTCAAGGTTAAGAATGAGCTTACTTAAGAGATAAAGATTAAAAAGAAAAAGACAATTTCACAGCTCTGTAAAGGTTGCATAAAATGCTGTCTCTTAGAATGTTTCAAACCTCGGGATAAGCTCATCCTGTACACAAGCTTTAAATTGAATAGTGGCTAGTTGTGGTACTTAGATTACTGGGAATTATCCCAGCATGATTTCAATGGCACCTGGGAATTTATCAGTTGGTTTAAAGTGATAAGAGCATCTTTAAAAATCCTGTCTCACAAACTCATAGCCCACTCCTTGAAAGGTCATTTAAAAAAAACCAAAAAAAAACCTTTCAAATAAATGTTCATCATGTAAGACAGATGAGACATATTTATAAAAAGCAAATACCAAGTGACTTAAACAAAAAAGTTATGGTGGGGAATATATATATATATATATATATATATATACACGTGGATCCACCACTCACTCTCCCCTTCTTGTCCTTGCCTGGGTGCAAATCACTTATGCCAAAATATTAGTATCAAATATCAAATAAAGTATCAAGGAAGGTGCACTCACAGGACTTTGTAAATAAATCTTGAAGTTTTATTGTGCAATTATACACCAGAAAATGTGTTGACGTTTCAGTCCTCTATGGGACTTTTCTCAAGAAATGTGTCGCCTTGCTCAGAAATGCTTCAGACTTGAGAAAAGGGAGGTTCTCCCGAAAGCTTGTCATTAAAAAATTCTGTTAGTCCAATAAAAAAGGTATTACATATTTAACTGTTTTTATATATATATAACAGTGTGGTGTTTATAATGTTGTTCAGTATATATATATATATATATATTTATATATATATATATATATATATATATATATATATATATATATATATATATATATATATATATATATATATATATATATATATATATACTGAACAACATTATAAACACCACACTTTTGTTTTTGTTTCAATTTTTCATGAGCTGAACTCAAAGATCGAGGACTTTGCATTCATTCACAAAAGGCCTATTTCCTTTAAATATTGTTCACAAATCTGTCTAAGTCTGTGTTAGTGAGCACTTCTCCTTTGCCAAGATAATCCATTCACCTCACAGGTGGGGTATATCACGATGCTGCTTAGACAGCATGATTATTGCAAAGGTGTGCCTTAGGATGGCCACAATAAAAGGTCACTCTAAAATGTGCAGTTTTACTTTATTGGGGGAATCAGGGGGGTCCAAAAACCAGTCAGTATCTGCTGTAGCCTGTAACCACCATTTGCCTCACACAGTGCAACACATCTCCTTCGCATAAAGTTGATCAGGTTGTTGATTACATTTAATTTGTTAATTTTGCTTGGAAGGATTGATGGGAGGGACACTATAAAACTGCTCTCTCTCCAAATGCTAAAAGTTACTCCAAAATGGAGCATAAAAACAACTACTTGGATACATTAGGATGTAACCACATGAGCTAAATGTTTCACTGACTGAAAAGAATTGCATAAAATAGTTTCATATCAAACACAGTTCCTACCTCAACATACTTGTACAAGAAACACATCTGAGGATTTTGGCTAGATGGTTTAAAACACCACTTGCCCTGCTTAGTGTTTCACTCTTGTTTTTCCTGTGTGTGGATATAGTCTGGGTCATTGATTCTAGTGTAAGATCAAGCTTAGCTTGCTGCTATATTTAGTTAGTGGGATCCCGGTTAAGGAGGTATGACTGTGGGACTTTGCTCAAGAACAGCTGATATGTGAACATCACCATAAATGGCACAAAATCCAACCCCAATAGTGTTTGTTGTGGGATTACCTTGTTATCTGCCAAAATATACACAAAAAAGGAGAGATATACATCACTAACTCTAAAGGCAGCAAGTCTGTAGCATGGATAACCTAACTATCCAAAATGAGAGGACCAGAACAAATTTAAAAAGGGAACAGGCTGTACCAAGTATGAATGTTGACTAAACACAATATAGTAATGTAAAATAGCTTAATAATTAAGAATATGGTATAAAAGTCTCAAAGATCTTATGGTACCTGTATAAAACATGCTGGAAAAAGTAGACTTGGGAAGTCATTCTTTTGTCCTCCTTGCTTAATAAATAATCAGCTTTGTTAGTAGAGAGGAGGCATTTTTTTAAGTTGTCCCATATGAAATAGAAACACAAAAAGTCACCAATAGTGTAACCCAACATAAGCAGTGTCCTAGATAATGTAGTGATAAAGGTACACTCACAAGGAGAGAGCCTCAAAACAGCTCTTAGATAAGGCTTTGAGCTAAATAATGTAATGATAAATGTACACTCACAAGGAGAGGGCATTCATTCATCTCTTAGATATGGCTTTGAACGAAATAATCCCTGCTGTCAGATAAAACTGGAGACATCCCTTTGGATATTCACAATACAGTAGACATATGATATAAATGGAATAAAATATAGAGCTCTCAGCTTTGAATAGTGGTACTAGAAAAAAAATGCAATGAAATCTACTTACATTTTTGGAAGCATTATATACCCTGTGGAATCAGCATGGGTGGTATGATCCCCACCAAGGATAAATGTAGGTAGATTTGGATGAGTGGAGTGCCAGTGCTCAGAGAGGTTCCTCTGGAGGTATTAGATGGATGCAGAATCAAGATAAAATAAATAATATGAAAAAAAATTGAAAGATAAAAACAATATTTATTTTGATATACCACACACAAAAAATTAAACCAGATGAATAGTCCTTGTATTCAATCACAACTCGTTTCACCCATATGATTTATTTATTGTAATAGATGTTATGTGTTATTATATATATATATATATATATATATAATTTATAATATATTTTTAATTAAATTAAATGGGTCTGGCCAGTGCATGTTAAGAGGTGGTAGCTGTAGAGCCTCTTCCAAGGCCACATAATCCTTGTGTGAGTGTAGTATCTGCTGGCCATCTGGTGTGAATACCATCAGTCCGGTAGGTATTTTTCACCAGTAGCAGATTATCTGAATGGCTAGAGTCCTGGTTAGTGGCTTGAGTGTCCACCAGTAGCCCAGTGTTGGCTTTATATATCAGCTGTGGTGAATTCCTAGTGGCCTGTATGCCCTCCTTATGTCTAAAATTGGCCATGCAGCAAATCATATCCCATGGTGGACAATCCGGGGCTCTCCGTGGTCTGAAGGCTTTGTGTGCTTGCACAAATTCTGTAGGAGTGTCCAACCCCCTTCCCACCAGAACCTTAAATATCTCTCTCAGCATGTCCCTGAGTTTCTGTGCTGATTCCTTTCCTTCAGGGACCTTGAAGTGCAATGTGACCTCTGTTGTGTAAGTCAGCCATGTGCAATGCCATATTGCAAAGCTGGCCTACCTGGCAGATAAGAGTGTCCATCATAGCCGCTTGGGCTAATAGCATTTTGTTACAGTCCATCTTTAGTTGACAGACAAGGTCGGTAAGTCCATGCAGATCATATATAAGCATCTATAAGTCTGCCCTAATAGTGGCCTATTAGAGTTTGCCTCTCATAGATCATCCTTTGTGAATAGCCAGGATAGCCAGGATCTTCTCTCTGAGGGACTTGCTAAAAAGAGATTGGTGAGGACAATTCCTTCCCTGTGTTTGAATTCATATGTCATCCACATGGTCAGATCTGTTGTGGATGCCATGTATTGGCGTAAAGATGTTAAGAGATCTAGTAGCCCCTGAAGTTTTCTGTGACTTCCCCATAATCACTTCAGGCAGGGAAAATTATTCTCATACAGCATGAGGTTGTGGAGGAGAATAACCACTAAACTGCCATCTTCCTCTTGTTTTTTTTTGTGTTAACTGTTTGGAGAGAGAAAATTCTATTTTCATTTTTTTTCCTAGTGTGTTCAGTCCTTCTTCTCCTTACAATACTTCCCCTAACTTCACTCCCTCTGCTGTTCTATGTTCATTTGCACCCGCTACATTGGAAGAGGTTTCTGCTCTGTTCCAGTCCTCCCGCCCCACCACCTGCTCCCTAGATCCAACTCCCTCGCATCTCATCCGTACTCTGTCTTCTTCTCTTTCTCCACCTCTCACTAAAATTCTCAATCTCTCTCTCTCTTTTGGTATATTTCCATCGCCCTTCAAACATACAACTGTAACTCCAATTCTAAAGAAGCCCAACATTGACCCTAACTCCCCATCTAAGTACCGTCCTATCTCGCTACTGCCTTTTGCATCCAAGATCCTTGAAAGAATTGTGTATGCGAGATTGACAGATTTCCTTGAGTCCGACTCTCTGCTAGAGCCACTTCAGTCTGGTTTCTGGGCTAAGCACTCTGTGGAAACGGCACTGACTAAAGTATCCAATGATCTACTCGTTGCAAAATCTCATGGTCACTACTCTATCCTAATTCTCCTTGACCTGTCTGCGGCTTTTGATACTGTTGATCATCAACAGGTTCTTCTCATCTTCTGCAATATTGGTCTACAAGATATTGCTCTCTCCTGGTGCTCCTCCTACCTCTGCCAACGCTCTTTCAGTGTTTCTTTCTTTTGCTCTGCTTCTTCTCCCCAACACTGACAGTCACATACACATTCAATGACAAACACACAGGCATCACTGACAGGCATCACTGATTTGACATACACACATTCACTCACAGACACAGACACACACTGACAGGCACACAAACACTTAATAACAAACACAGACTCACAGACAGACACATACAAATTCACTGACAGACACACACAAATTCACTGACAGATATACATACACTCACTGACAGACACACACACACATTCTCTCACACACATCAGAGGTTTCAAGGGAGCTGTAATCCTCCTGCTCTGCTCACTCACAGGCCGCCTTCTGATGCAGGGAGCCAGAATATGATGTCATATTCTGGCTCCTGGCATCAGTAGATGTCAAGCGAAGGAGCAGAGCAGGAGTATTAAAGCTCCCTCGCCACCCGCCTTAGGGGTCCACAAACTGCTTTCTCTATGGCAGGAGGAATCACTGGGGACATCCATGCGGGCACTTTTGGATCGATACAGCCAGGGCCGGCTTTAGAAAAACCACACACACACGCACACACAGGCTTACAGTCACATACACAAGCAGACAGTCACACACAGGCACAGGCAGACAGTTACACACACAGAGGCAGAGAGTTACACACATGCACACAGAGACAGACAGTCACACACACACACAGAGTTAAACACAGTTACAATCACACACACAGTTACAATCACACACACAGGCAGATAACCACACACACACACAGTTACAGTCACACACACAAACAGTTGCAGTCACACACACACATACAGTTACAGTCACACACAGTTACCTCTGTCCATTATGGACTGGAACTTGGAAGAGAGGAGTGGACGCAGTGCAGCTCCTGGAGTCTGGATGTTAGGTAAACAGGGATTCCTTCCTGCTTCCCCCTTCTTGTGCAGCAGTCACCCAGCATGTCTTGTGGGTGCTTTAGCCCCGCCCCACCATCATTTAGCTCCACCTCAGCTGTATTTTAGCCATACCTCTGCCGAACTGTAAGCCCCACCCCTGTCGTAAGGTTTTTAGGTTTTTAATAGTGCTGGGTGGAGAATAATGAAATCCTCCACTCGGGTAGCCGAGCTGTGTGAGCTCAACCCTAAGGCCGGCCTTTGAAACTGCGCCGGCACTTGGGGGAATACAAAGGGGGCATGGCATGATGTGGGGGGGCATGACCCCCTCTGCTCCCCCCCCTAGCGATGCCACTGAGTGGTATAAAGTTGATTGGATGGGCAGGTAACAATGTGCACCTTTGTGGTGACCAACAGAGCTCCTAACATGATCAAAACTCTTCAAGATGGTTTCTTTGTGGATGCACACATCTTACATCTTGTAGTGAAGAGTGCAATTCAGGAAACAAACACAATGATGTAAACCATTCATAAGTGCTGCAGCAGATTTACCTGGCATTTCCACCATAGTGTGAGGACTAGCCAACTCTTGAGGCAGGAGCATGAGAAAAGAGGGATGTCCACACATTGTCTGGAAAACAGGTAAATAGTACCTAGTGGCAGACTCCGCATTGAGGTAGCATCATTGGTAAGGAAGCTAAAATGTTTGTCTAAGAGAACAAATTATTAATTGCCCCAACGTTAACTTCCCTGTGTGATGCTAGGATTAACGGCAAAGTGTCGCACAATTCCAAGTCTAACATACTGGAGGACAAAACTAATTAACACAGTTTTGGTTTAATCGAATGGCTTAAAACACCGAAAACTGTGTCCGTGCATGTCTAATATTTTATATTTTGTACATGTGCTATTGCTTTACACGTATTTTAGTGCTTCGCATTGAAGATGTTAATTGAGTCAATTAAAAGTTACATTATAATTTTCTTATTAAAAGTGCTGAAATACTGTAAAAAACACAACTGAATAAAACACAATTGACCTTAGTTATATATATAACTAAGGTCAATTGTGTTTTATTCAGAATTTTATCTAATTTTAATAATAATCTATAGATAGTGATTCCCGACTCACTGCCTGCTGTATAACAAGACAGACAATTAGTGATTTTTGTTTTTCAGGCATTGATAGGGTTTACCAACGCTACCTCCCTCCTGACTACTATATGACTAGCAGGTGTGATTTAGTATTTATATAGCTGGTGATCACATAGACAATGCCCTTTTAAAGTCTGAGAGTGGGTTACCAGCATTTGCTACATTGTCATAGTATACACTCATTGCTACTTGATTGCATTGACTGCACTGTACAGATAATATTTATTAAGTATCTACCTCATGTAGAGATATGAATGTCACCAGCCTAGACTTTGCTATGATCATTTTTAGGTTTAGTCTATTTGAGTTTTCTCTTTATGTTAGCAGGGTTAAGCTCTTAGACAGCCCGGTCTGTCGCCCTGGTAACCCTGCACAGAACATTGTAGCTCTAGTGCAATTTATTTTCTTTCTGAAGATTTATAAATATACTTGTTTATGTTCTGCATTTTTTCATATTTTGTTTGTTTGCTTGTTTTTGTATTATTAGAAGGATTACCTGTTGCATATTGTTCAAATATTTATTGTTCCTTATCTAATTTTTTTCTGGAAGTTCATTTTTAAAGAAATCTATGAAAACAAACAGTGAAGTTCAAGGTGATTGCATATTCTCTCTGTACTTGAAAACAAGCTAGTGTCTATGTCAGTATAACTGTGCCTACAAGGAACATAAAAAAATAAAAACTCTAAATGTAATGAAGGATCTCTTGGTTAACTGCCACTGCCTGGCTTAGGTCAGTAGCAGAGTTTCTGGCAGCAAAAGAGGCATCGGTTGGGACGTAGCACAACTCTAGGTAATTAGTGAAACCATTCTTAAATGGTTCAACTACTTACTGTGGAATGGTTTCATGATACTCCTATTATCGCAATCATGATGCATGGAGTGTTCCTTTAAAAAGTGCTACCCACATAAACAATGGACACCAAAATGTCTATTATAAGGGACAGTGTGCTCAACCCAAAAGGAATCTGGTCTGGATTCCAAATTTTCACAAAAAGAAGAAGAGGGATTGGGGTAGGAGTTCAGTATTTACATGCATTTCTCAGCAGTGGTACCTCGGTCAAGAACAAATATATACAAAGCACAGATTAAGGGAAATGTGCACATACACAAAAAAACACAGTTATAAATCTTACAAAATTACTTAAAATCACTTAGGCACCCGGAGTGGGGAACAGGGTGCTCAAGCATAATTTTGAAGCAGTTTAAGCTGTAACTAATGCAGTTGGCATGTTCATCTTTCTTGTTTAAATTAATATAGGATCCACCGATATTCGGTGGGTGCTATACTATGATGTAGTGCTGGGCCTAAATCTTCTGTGTATATATTAGTCTTGACAGCAGCACCACTGTTGAGAAATGCATGTTTTGTGTGTGCCCACAATCTCCTTTTTTTGTTTAAAGCAAGCAGTATGTCTGGCTTTATTCTGGCAGCAGAGATGTTAATAATTTTACATTTTTGGTATTGTAATTACTGGCTCACACAGGGGAAAATAAGTAAGTAAGAAAGAAACCAAGCTATGATTTTTTTCCCAATCCAAAATGTTAAGTAGAGGTTCAGACTCCTGTGAGGCATAACATATTGCAAAACTTAATGATTATGACCAAGCTAAATCAGCACATGGTGAATTGCAAGGAATACTTAAGAAGTATATCTTATCCTGTAAGTTATTCTGAATTTTAGGGGCTCGTGTTTCTGCCAGCATAGGCTTGAGTAAGTTGTGGT